AAGGAGGTTTACAATTTGGAATACAATATAATGAAATTGATTTTAGTACTGACACACTGCAATGTAATGTTGATAACAGAACAGTATGTATAAAATTACATGAACTTTCACACAATACATTAAGAAATAATGAAAATAATATGAATAATATTATACAAGAAAGACATAAAGATGATACTTTTGAATGGATGCAAGTACTAAATTATTTTTAAGTACATATAAAGAAAAAGTAGAACTTTTGTTAAATCGAAAAATAAAAACGAGAAAAATAATGTGGGAGAGAATACGCAAAGTCATGCATTCAAAAGGATACAATACTACAGCAACTCAAATAGAAAATAAATACAAATCTCTTGAAAGATCATTTAAAAATATGGTCACAAATAACAAGAAAACTGGCAGAGGACGTACAACGTATCCATATCAAACGTAAATTTTAATTGTTATTTTAAGACTTGTGTTAAAAATTAATACATAAGATAACTTAAGAATAAATATATAAAATAATTATTTATTGTTACAGTGAATTAACGGAACTTTTAGGCGCTAAGCACAATATAGAACCCTTAGCTGTTTCTGGCAGAGAAGATTTAATTATACGACAGGATGTGACAGCAAGTACATCTGCATCTCCAGTACATCTGTAAGTTTGACATTTAATATTTGATTTTTTGAAAAAAATTAAGTACATTTTGCTTTTAAGACTTCTACTTTCTATACAGAAGCTGTGTTTCGTAAGTTACCTTCCATTATTAAAATGCAAAAGTTTCGTGAACATTGCAGTTCACTTTATTAGAGCGAGTAGCTTCCGTATAAATAACTATTAATACACAATAATTAATCTGTTATTAACACTTAATAAGTGGAAATATATTTTTCATTTTATTTATTATGTTACATTTATATATGGTATATTTGTTATTGTGTTTTTAGATTATTATTTTTTTGTCGTAATTATTAATTATTTAATATTGTAGATTTATGCCCAATCAAAATGATGAAAATTCAACTATGCAAGAGGAAAATAACACTACATCCGAAATAAGAACGACAAGAAATATTACAAGCGATAGTAATTCTAGCAAAGAAAGAGTAAAATATATAATCTATTAATATAAACAAAAACTTATCTAATTTCATGAACTTACTATATGTATACATGTATATTTTACAGGTATTACAAAAAGAAAAACGAAGAATGGGAAATACTGCGCGAATAATACAAAATGTCCAAAATAGTATTGAAAAATTTATACATGATATTGCGCAAGAAAAAGATAGTAAATTAGAAATACAAAAACAAGTACTTACGGAGTATAAACAATTGAGAATTAGTTATGACGAATCTTTAAAGAAAATACAAGAACAATTAGAAAATGCAAATAAATTAAGAGAAGAAAAAAATAAGCTTTTGAAAGAATTTATTTGTGGTGACAAAAATATTTAAAATTGCGTTAGTCTAAAAAAAAAAGACTATATTCAAGAGAATGTGAGAAAAAAGTAGTGCAATATATATCAATTGTTTTTTTTATAACTCATGTATTTTTTATTTTGTTTGAATTTTTTTTTCTACATGAATTTTTATTCATTTTTTTCTACATTTTCTACATTTCTTATTTTCTTCTATTTTACAAATGTGAAAAACAAATGTGATAATAAATTAAATTATTTTAAAATAAAATCCGCAATATGTGTTTTTATTATAATAATGTTGTGTATCAAACTTTAAAAAATTGTGTTAAAATGTACTTATAAAAAAAGTATAAAAATGTATTTATAAAAAAAGTATAAAAATGTATTTATAAAAAAAGTATAAAAATAAAATCTAATTATCAAATTAAAATCTTAAATAAGCGGCTCAGTTAAAGTAAATTCACCAAGTTAATTTTAGGAACCGTAACAAATACAATCAAAATTCACTCTTTAATACAAATCATGAAATATATTACTCCTTGTGACAAACATTAAGTTACAAAAGACAGGTATTCAATCGTTACAATTCGTTTTATGCTTATGGATCTAGTATATTTACTGCCTATATGCTACGTTATTGATCGCTGACAACTAAAGTCGGTAGTGGACAACTATTAAATGGAGGCGTTAAAAAGTTATAGAATAATGTAATAGAAGTCATTGAGTAAAATTTGGTGTCATCCACATAAAATTAAGCAACAGAAGTATAACATAAAGTAAGTGTAGTTTTAACATTAAAATAATATGACTAATAAGTAGCATAAATATAGATTAAACAATAAATGATATGACAATAGATTAAACAATAAAATGATGTAACTAAACGTTTCGACCTATCCACGCGGTCATTTTCAAATCATTTTCAATCTAATTATAAAATTCTAATTATAAAAAATCTATTATTATTGTAATGTTGTATTTATAAAATATTTAATTGTCGGCATATTTTATCGCGAATATGCACTCCGGTTTCATTTTCTCTCGGTACTTCATCAATGCGTTGTACAACGTGCTGGCCTTGTATTTCGATATCTGGATATTCGCCCTCCAGAGGTGGTTCAAAATATTCTAATTCGGCTGTGTTTGCCATGTTATGAAGTACGCAACAAGCATGTATAACACGAACCGTTCTTATTATATCGCGTAACTTGAAGTGGTATAATTGCCGAAACCGTTGCTTTAGATTACCAAAAGCATTCTCTATAATTACACAAACAGAACTCAATTTTTGGTTGAAATTTCTTTGTGCACGTGTCAAATGTCCGTTATCTCTGTATGGAACAATTTATTGTTTCAAGCAAGGATACGCGCTGTCTCCTAATATGTAGTAATTATCTACAAAAAATAGATGACATTTCAATTAATAACTCAGTTATCAATTATTAATTCTAGTAATTTTTATTCTGTTGTATTTACTTTTTAACTAACCTCTGCAAAGTTCACGAAGATCATTACGAATTGGTGAATTCCTAAATACTCTTGCATCATGAACGGAACCGGGATATCCAACGAATACATCAATAAATTTCATATTGTGGTTGACTACGCCTTGAAGATGTAATGAAAAGTATTGTTTTCGATTGATATATGAATTCGGATCTTCTATAGGTTTATCTATTCGAATGTGAGAACCATCTATAGCACCTAAAAAGAATGTTATAGATATATTAAAAGAAATGAAATACATAATTGATAGATATATAAACAGAAATGTGAATTAAAATAATAAAATACCGATTACACCAGGAAATTCTTTTTCATTACGATAATAAGAAGCCGTTTCTTCTTTTTCATCTGCAGTTGGATATCGAATAATATTAGGTGCTAATGACATAATAAAATCAGTTGCTCTAGTAATAATTTTGTGTAGAACGCTAATAGTTATTCCAAATCTGTCAGCCACATCACGATAACCTGCACTTTCATGGCCTATGTACCATAGGTAACATAAAATATGTTTTTCTGCAGTTACTTTTAAATGTCCTGCATCTGTAAAAGTGGTGTACAATATGTTAATATGATAATATTCTTTTTCATAAAACAAATTAATATCGAATTATATAGTAAATTAAAAGTTTTTTAATATATGCGTACCATGTAAGGAAGTAAATATCTCAGATACATGGAATTGGTCTATTAAACGATATGTTATTTCTCTTGATAAACGAAAATGCATAATAAAATCAATGTTATTATAATTTTGAACAACATTTTCCACATAATTATATATTTTTATGTGTTCTATTCGTAGAATTATTCCAAGCACAGGATGAAATATTCGTAATTCATTATAATCTAAATATAAAATACAAACGTTTTGTTAGGTTAGATCACATCTTTAAGATTTTTATTTAATTGGTAATAAATGTGTTACAATAAATTACATACCATCATCTTCTTCATCCATAACTGGTAGCAATGGTGGCAATGGTAATAAATACAAATCTTCTTCATCTGAGGATTCCAGTTCTAACATAACTAAATCACGTCGCCTGGCGTGCGCCATATTTAATACTGCACTATTGCGTTCTTTTTACTGTTACGGTATCCTTGCACTCATGAAAATTTGTGCTGCCCTAGCCTGTACTATTGGTGTTCCAGTACATGAACTAGTGCAACGAGTTCAGACAAAAAGAACAAACCTACCTTCCATGTAATAGAGAACTCTGGTTGGTTCAATTTCTTATGCCTCATGTGTCATGCGTTAAGCAAGAATCTGTGCTCCCCGCTTAAGGATAAACGACGCATTATGCGCACCATGCGAGAAACGGAACGAACCCTAAATAACTCGCATATCAAAATTTTAGTCCTCTTAGGTAAATTAATATAGCATAAGGCTATTTAACGTAAATGGAACAATCTTTTCTAAGTGTTTGAAATAATTAATTTGGACTGTAAATAATTCGGAAATATCGTTCTAGAATTAATTGAATGGTTTTTTTACCTGATTTCATATTGTTTAAAGAATTTAGTATCTATGTGTCCTTGTCTCTCTAATGTAAAATGTTATGTTGTCTCTTTCTATTTAGTGCAATTAGTTCCAATTATTTTAAATGCTTGAAAAAATTTAAATTCTTGCAAAATAATTCGGCTTACATGCCTAGGTAATGAAATAATTAATGTAACTTGGTTTTAGTAACCTTTAAATGAAATATTCGCTTTTTGCGTTTCTTAATAATTCTTTTATCGTTCTAGGATCTCCAATGCATTCACAGCGTGTGACAGGTAAGTTATGGTTTCTGTTATTATTTTATCTTTAGTTTTTCATGTTACATATTTTTAATCTTCTCTTTTTATTCTAGGTTGTCAAGCTGAATTGGATTGGATTCCCTGTTGGTTATTTTTCCCTGTAGGATATTCAGGTAGGTTGAAATCATATATTGATTCTTTTTGGTATTTTATAGATTAATGTAAGTAAACGGTATTTATTTCCGTGTGTAGAATAATTAATTAAAACTAGGGTATAACATAAAATAAATCTACTTCAACGAATACATCGTGAATTCGACGTGACCTTTTACATAAAAAATAAATGATATTGACTTTCTGTCAGGTAATGAAGAACATGAAACAATTAATCAATGGCTTCTAGATGTGGCCGCTGGTCTCCGTCGTTGTCGTCTTGTCGTTTGACATCTCTGGGTCGCCTATTTGCTCCTCCAGTATCGTGGTATTTATCTGTAATTATTTTAGCCTTGTTGTAATTATTTGGCTGTTTGTGAAAAATAGCGGGCGGTTGCAAGGTCAAGGTTACATTGATTTTCTGAAATGGAACACCTTATTTTTGATTCAAGAATCTAATAGCTGATGTCGAGAGCTTTCCAAAACGCTATAATGAAATATTTTTTTA